GTTTGACGTTCCTAACAGAACCCAACAGTTCATTCAAGTTCGTGGGGTACAGGGCCCCCACTTCATTTTTCCACCAATTCTTAGGCTCTCAAAACCCTGATGCCTAACCTTTTGGGCCCGGGGTGCACCTCACTGGTCCCATCCACCACCGGAGGTTCGAGCACTCAGGTCGCAACTGCCGTGAAAGAAAATAAAAGTTGCAATTGCAGAGCAGACCCAGCCTGTGATTGCACAGGCGCAACCAAAGAGCGTGATGGTCCCGTCGATGGGGCCACTCAAGAATGAGGCCGAGCTAGAAGAGCGACAACTCATCATGTTGTCTAAGGAGGAGCTCGGAAAGACAATTGCAGATGCAGTTGCAGCCGGACCAACCGACAGTTCACTCAATAAGCTTCTCACATGACCAGTGTAGCAACTCATACAGTAGATTTGACAACAGGAGACGGATGTCGAGAAGTCGAGTAGCAGGGATATTGTTCTTAGGGATCAAGATAAGGAGAAAATAGCAGAGTAAAATCTGTCAATTACAGTCGAAGGTCGAGATAAAGGCTATTGATCGATCTCAAGGACATCCTTTCTCTTGAGAGATCCTTGAAGCTGCATTACCAACCAACTTCATGGAGGTTGGTCTTACTTATGACGGATCGAAGGATCCATCCAGACATTTGAGGTCTTTTGAAAAATATGTTTGTGTAAAAGTGTGACTTCCCTCCGCGTGGGTAGCCTCTTCCCGTGGGATTACTGCTTTCTTCTCTCCGTCTTGCGTTATTCCTCCGTATGCGTTCTGTCTCCAAATTAAAATTGCTGCGGGTGATGAGTGGAGTCTTCTCACCAAAAATAATTCACCCCACATCGATAATACTTTTCTTTGCAAATATCCTACTTCCAATTCATAATTCCACTATGTGGCGTGAGTGGACTATGGACTCCAATTAATTCCCTGGATGCATATTGCATGTTTTTGGGGCCCAAAATCACTCCTCATCTATTGGGTCATTGTTGTGCACAATTTAAGGTCCAATTCATTAGTTCCTTGGCCGATTACTTTCATGTTTCGCCATCTACAAAAAAATACTCTAATATGCTGAAAATAAACAATAAAAATATCAAAACAAACAAATTCATCCAAGAAATAAATAAGTTGAAAAATATAAACGTGCAAATAAATTAAGTGTATAAAAGTACATTATTATATATATAAAATGCGCACATTTTTCAACCTATTACTGAGCCAAAATTATTCACAAACATGAAATATTTGCTTGTTAACACCTCGTTTAAGGTTTTAGATTTATTAAGATTGCGATTGGAAATAAGTATTATCAAACTTAACTCAACCATATTAATGTTTACACTTTTAAATTGAAAATCCAACTCAAATTTAACTCAACGCAACTCTCCTTAATATTTATATATAATTAAATAATATCAATCATTCATTAATATGTATCATATCAATTTAAATTCACTATTCATATAGTCATATATTTTTAGTTACTAACGTAGCTGAAGCGTATACTATTGGGAGAATAAAGAGAAAATTCTCAATATATTTTTTTATTCTAAATCAACCAACCAAAACAATAGAAGATGAGTCATTTAAATTTTAAATATAACTCTTAAATGCCCTAATATAACTTGCAACAAGAAAAGAACTATGGTAAAAATATGGGTTAAGATAAACAAATACTATCCTACAAAAACTATAATGCAAATATTAATAATAAAGAAAATTAATAATTAGTAATAACTTCATCATTCTCCCCCTCTCGAATAGGATTCGTCCTCAAACCGGCACACTCTCACCTCCACAATCTCGACCAGACCAATTTTACGGGCTGTGAACTTGGTATACTCACGAGCATAAAATCTATAAACGCTACTTGCCAAGTTTCCCCCAAAAAATTCTCACGTACTCAATGACCGATAGTAAATGGTCTGCTCCACTTTGTCCTTTGTTGCCCATGAACTACCTTCTTTGTTTGCAAACACACTAGCAGTAAGGGTTGTGCCATTGTTGTCTCCCCAGCCGACTAGCATAGTCTCTTATTTAAGGACATCAATCTCGGTTTTGAACTTGTATTGAATAGTCGTCATGGGCTTCACAATCCACTGGTAGGCCAATTCTATATTTGTGGATGAGCATAGTGGTTTCATAGCTATAGACAGAATGTATTTTGCTCTCTGTCGACCGCCCGTCATAGAAAAGAGGTGGATCCTCATAATCGGGTGACCCTCATCGTCAAAAAGAGGCAGACTCTCATATTCGATCTACCCCTCATTATCAAATAGAGGCGAACTCTCATATTTGGTTGACCCCTTGTCATAAAAAAGAGATGAACCCTCATATTCGGTTGAATTATTGTTGCCTCGTGTATGACGTCCGAAAGGATTAACCTTGGAAACGGTGTCTTCAAAGTCACAGTCTCCGTCCCACGAGTGAGACAATCGGGAGCAGGGTGCTTCGTGTGTGCCCCAACCACAATCCCCGTGCATTCTCCCGCAGCTGCATTGTCCATCGTCTGGCGAGCGGTTTGTACGATCGCCATGAAGAGAGATATGGAGAACCAACCGGATATCCACGAGCCCCGCAGCTAGATCTGCGACCTAGCGTCCTAACGCCTCGTGTTGGCATCCCAACGCCTTACTCTGGCGTCATAACGTTTGTATGACGGTGTCACGCCTGTCATCAATTAAAATTGATGTGATGGTTATAAAATTGTGTGAGTTGATGAATAGTGAATTGAAATTGATGTGATGTGTAAGAATAATTAGTTGATATTATTGAATTATATTGATAATATTGAGGATAATGAAATTGAGTTAAAATTGAGTTAAATTTGAATTTTAATTGATTTTTTTAAGTTGAATTGATAAATAATCACCCCTTAGCAGCTTAAACAAAGAAAAAAAAAAGTAAATATTGGTTTATGTACCGACTATCGAGGGTCAAAAAAGTAAACGAAGTGGCCAGTCCCCGGCGACAAGGGGCCAAATGAGACGCACACCACACACTTCATACAAGCAAAGAACTGTATATACACCGCTGTTTTAAACATGGCGAATCCTCAATCAGAGTTTATTCGGCCATGGTTTCTCGAGCTCGTGCCTCTCTTGGTGGTCCTCCTCATTGTTGTTCACGTTCTCGCTCTGGTCAGTATCTACATTTAGGATTTCTTTCTTCTTTTTTCTTTTG